CTTAATGGGGCGATAATCACTGATCTTCACACACCCGGTTTTAGGTCCTGAGCTCATTAATCAAGTTTTAGATTACAAGAGGTTGTTAAATGTTAAATGAAATATAGCTTAGCCAAAACAACTTTATTCTTGATACGATTGTCATGGAGTAAATGTTGCTGGGGTCAAAAATTGCAAAAAGGCATCAACGATAAGTGATAAGTCTTTGGCAAGCAAGTTCTCTGGTCAGTTGCTTCTTATGTTTAGCTCAATTACCTGGTTGTGTTGATCTATCAGGAAATAACAGGACCAGCCATCTGCTTTGTAACAAGGTTCATATAAAAAAAGTGTAAATTTCTATCGAAACCTGCACTTTTTTAAAATAAAAAAAGTTGACATTCTTCACACATAAAGGATTTCAACAAGGAAAAATACTTTACAGGTCCAGATGTTTCTTTAAGAGGAAATAGAGGAGACACCAGGAACCTAGATCGTAAGATGACCATGCAGTTTCATACAGACCTTCAGGTGTAGCAGATAGATTTTGCCTTCAAATAAGATTTTGTTCATTTAGCATTTTTTTCGAATAATAATTATCATTTATATGCTTTTGTTTGATGTAAAATTTAATGGGTGTATTCATTGCCCATTTATAGAAATATGAATACCCTGTAAATATAATTGTACATTTGTTCTTTAATTAGAATGTTAATTTGTGAGCAAATATACAGCAATGAACCATAGAAATGTGTTTGGCTTCTAGCGTATATTTGCTTGAATTCTAAACATACATTACAATTGCAACTGCATATCAACTAGACAGTCTGACTACATGAATAAATAACCAGACTTTTTTTTAAGGAAACTAGCAAAGTACAATTTTAAATGCTGGCATAATATACCATGCATATGTGAAACATCAAAGTTGATTAGTACAGACAGGGCTTGGAAAGCTATGATGTATTCTCAATCTTTGATAGAGCATTTCTTTTTGGCAGATATACTCCTACTGGCATCTATCTATCTAATATACACTGATCAGCCACAACATTAAAACCACTGACAGGTGAAGTAAATAACATTGGTTATGTCATTACAATAACTCCTGTCAAATGGTGGGATATTAGCAAGCAAGCAGTTAGTTCTTGAATTTCACATGTTGGAAGGAAAAATGGGCATGTGAAAAATCTGCTTAACTTTGATAGGGCCAAATAGCGATGGCTAGACGACTGGGTCAGAGTACCTCCAAAATGGCAAATATTTTGGGATGTTGCCAGTATGCAGTGGTTAGTACCTTCCAAAAGTGGTCATTTACCTAGGGAAGAGATGGCCGCAGGATACACTATGTGAAGAATGCAGGCTGGCAGAGGCAGGGTTATGATCTGGGCAATGTTTCACTGGGAAGCCTTGGGTGCTGGCATTCATGTGGATATTACTTTAAGACATACCACCTGCCTAGAGATTGTTGCAGACCACCTACAGCTCTTTATGCCAACGGTGTTCTCTGATGGTCGTGGCCTCTTTCAGCAGGATAATGCACTCTGCCACACTGCAAAAATTGCTTAGGAATGGTTTGAGGAACATGACAAAGAATTCAAGGTGTTGCCTTGACCTCCAAATTCCCCAGATTCTAATCTGATTGCGGATCTGTGGGATGTGCTGATACAACAAATCTATGGAGGCCCCACCTTGCAACTTGTAGGATTTCAAAGATCTGCTGCTAATGTCTTGGTGCCAGACACCACAGGACAAATGCTTGTGGAGTCCACGCCTCAGCGCATCAGCGCTGTTTTGGCAGCACAATGTTAGCAGGTGGTTTTAATGCTGTGGCTAAGTGTATATTTAGAGACATGCACACTTCTTTGTGCATACTTATTTTCATTTTCTGTGGTTAAGTACAAGCTTAGCACTGTAACATTGTAAAAAATAAATACTGCCTTACAATCTTTAGCATAGCACTGAAATGATTCATGAGCTGTTCTGTTGCACTGGAAGTATTGCCAAAGCTGTTTGTATTGTATCAGTTAAAGTCTAACTTTTTAAACAAATTTCAAGTATATCTCATATCAAAAAATTATGTCAAGCAAGAATAGAGTTGCAAGAATGGTTTATCATTTATAGAAGAAATAAAGAAATAAGTAAAATGCATTTACAAACAATTGTGAAGAGAATTTAAGTTGTATTCTGGTTACAGAATGTTCCCTACAGTTTGCAGAGCTCATTTGTATGTCCAAAATAATTTCATATTTATATAATGCTTTCAGGGATTTATGTAATTGTAACAACTAATTTGCAATATAATAAAACTAAAAAATAATTGCTTTTCTCCCCACTCCTGTGTGGTATATTTATTCATCATTCTCTGTATCTTAGCTGTTCCTTAAACTGAGTTCTTCTGGACAATGATCTCAAAAGTCACACCTTCAATTTGTTAAAGACTCTTCCCCAACTTATGAGTCACAGCCCCAAATGCGCCTACCACAACTGGTAGTACTACTGCCTTCACTTTCCACATCCTTTATAGATCTATTTTTAGTCCTTGGTATTTGTCCATCTTCTCATGTTCCGTCACCGCAGTCTTCCGTTCCATGTGTGATGATGTCAGGTTGGTTGCCAGTACTTGCTTGTCTGTCGGGATCTGGATCTTAGCCCTGTCAGTTAAAACATTTTTAAAGTAATGTTATGCTGGACAAGGGTGGACGACCTATAATCTTTGGGACAGGGAAACTATAGAGTTAGAATTACAGGTGTTTGTTACTCCTAACGCTAGAGTCAGCCTTTAACTTTTTTTCAAAATAGTAAATCATTTAAAAATATATCCAAAAAGATTAAATCATTTAAGTAGCTTACCAAAAAATTATAAATCAAGGCCATAATTTTAAGGAAGATAAAAAAGAGGTGGGAGGGAGTGGGAAGAAACAAAGAAGAATACAGAACAGAAGCAGAGAAGAAAAAATAAACAGAGAAAGGTGTGGAGCCTTAAATATTATGGGGAAGGGCACAAACAAGGCAACCCGGCCTTCATGGCCTCAGTAACATCTGTAAACTCAAGGGCCGTGCCCGCATTTAAAGGGACGCTACAGACACCCAGACCTCACTTCATCTCATTGAAGTGGTCTGGGTGCAGAGACCCTGTTCCATTAACCCTGGAAACTGCTATATTTCCATTACAGTGTTAAAAGTGCCCCTAGTGTCTAGAGGGGCTTCCTGCAGTATTACAGAGTTTTACTCCTTGAATCGATACTGGACATTTTCAGAATCCTGTAGATGTCCCCAGCTTAATATGGGGAATCTATGTCCAACTCCAGGGGAATCATTTGTAGAGTATTACCCCAGAATCACCTAATATGGTGGTGCCAGTAGTAGTACTGCAAAGTAGAGAAACAAAATACTTTTGAGCATGAAAGTGGTACCATAATATTGCCTGAAAATTGATAACTGAGTTACATAGATATTAGAAAAAAATAGTAAAATGTGGCAAATGTTTAATTAGATATACTTTCTTCAAATAAGCAGGAAGGCTGCCTCCGGACTAGCAGACGTACCCAGTAAATCAGCCTAATAAAAGAGGAGGAATGAAGGGGAGAGGGAAAACGCATGTTAAATGTTTTTCTGCATTTGTTTCACTCGTCCATAACCCCTATAAAAAAGCAAACCATAAAATCTAAATAGACATTAAACTCAGTATCAGAGCATTCTTACAACCTAACCCACCACTTCACATCCAACCACTCTGTGGAATTTAGAGATAACACCCTCTCATGCCAGAGCAAAATGAGTAGACATGAAATGTGAAAAGTATAGGAATAGCTTAGCGTTGTTGGATAAAGATGACAAAAATCAAAATTGCCATGGCTTACATAAAACTATTACATTATGTGGAGGTAGTAAGATTGCATAACTGTAATCCAGAACAGATGCATTGTTATCATTGAATAAACTTGTATAGGTCAAGGACATCAATAGTAGGGTACTGGGGTGCTCAAGCCTCCTATGAGTACCTATAGCCCGGTCTCTTTTTTTCCCCTACCTGCTGTGCTCTCCCTGCCTGCTCCTGGTCTCTTTGTCGATTCTAGATGTTAGCCTGGAAGTGGAAGCAGCATAGTGATAGAAAAAAAAAAGGGAATATGGTAGATTGTTTCTGCCACTCCTGGCTGTTCATCTATGTCTCATGTGTGTACATGTATCTGTACGAGTATCTGTAAGTAAATGTGAGTGTGCCAATAGGCAGTTGGGGGATTTGATGAGGGTGGGGCTATAGGAAAGGGTCAATAAATTAGATTTGGACCTATACCCCAGTTGTTTTTTTATTTAACCTTTTTAAGGAATAGGCCAATGCTTTTTAAAATAACCTCAACATCTTAGGAAATGGATTTAGGAGTAATTATTTCAGATGACTTAAATGTAGGCAGACAATGAACTAGAGCAGCAGAAATGCTAGCAGAATGCTTGGTTGTATAGGGAGAGGTATTAGCAGTAGAAAGAGGGAAGTGCTCATGCCATTAAACAGAACTCTGAGACCTCACTTGGAGTATTGTAAGCAGTACTGGAGACCATAAATTTAGAAGGATATTGATACTTTGGAAAGAGTTCAGAGAAGGGCTACTAAACTAGTTCATGGATTGCAGAATAAAACTTACAAGGAACGGTTAAAGAATCTTAACATGTATAGCAGGCCTGTCCAACCTGCGGCAACCCAGATGTTGCTGATGTTGTCCCATGGTTCTTTCAATGAAACAGATAGATAGGGAATCATGGGAGTTATAGTTCAGCAACATCAGGGGGGGCGCAGGTTGGACAGCCCTGACGTATAGCTTGGAGGAAAGACAAGACGGGGGGATATGATAGAAACATTTAAATACATAAAGGGAATCAACAAAGTAAAGGAGTAGACTATATTTAAAAGAAGAATAACTACTAGTCTTAAATAGTGATGTCGCGAACCGTTCGCGAACTTGCCGCGAACGGTTCGCCACGGTTCGCGGCGAACCGTTCGCGGCGAACCGTTCGTGACGAACTCCGGTCAGCTGACACATCCCTGCCAATCTCCGGCAGACCCTCCCTCCCAGACCCTCCCACCTCCTGGACAGCATTCATGTTGAAGCTGCCTTCAACATGGATGCTGTCCAGGAAGTAGGAGGGTCTGGGAGGGAGGGTCTGCCGGAGATTGGCAGGGATGTGTCAGCTGACCGCAAGTTCGCGAACGGTTCGCGACATCACTAGTCTTAAATTAGAGAGGCAAAGGTTTAAAAATAATTTCAGGAAGTATTACTTTACAGAGAGGGTAGTAGACAGATGGAATATCTTTCCAGCTGAAGTGGTAGAGGTTAATACAGGGAGGGAGTTTAAGCATGCGTGGGATAGGCATAACGCTATCCGACTAATGAAAGTATTGAGAAAATTGTGCAGACTAGATGGGCCAAACAGTTCTTATCTACCGTCACATTCTATGTAACAATGCAGCAATTCTCATAACGTCACGTAAACCAATGAAATTAATAATGGGAGACATTCAATTATTTTTACACTGTTCTGGGACAAACCATTTTTACTGTACTTGCAGTCAGGTAAATGCTTCTCAGTTTGCTAATGCAGACTTCTGTATTAGCAATATCAATTTCACTAACATTTATACTTAGGCTAGATGATAATGCTATCTAAATAATGATGAATTGTTGAATATCAAGTGGTACTTCTGTATTAGCAACAAGCAAGTAGAGTGTTGAGCCAAAAACTGTTTTCCCCAGAAGCAGGGAACCGCTCCTGCTAGTCATAGCATCATAACCACTACAATGACATGCAGTAGTTATGGTGCTGTGTGCCTCAATAGTTAACAATGTGATTGAGCAAATGTTTGGAAACACTTGATTGGAAAGGTTTTTTGCTTCATACAATGGAGAGTCAAATTTGCATTGTTTCAGATTTCAGAATCACACTAACAGGGCTGTTTACTAAAGTGAGATTTCAAAGTGGATTCAAAATTAATTTCAAAGTTAAGGCCAAAATAGGAGCACAGCTAATTAAGACACTTTTTCCAGTTTTGCTATTTTACCTTAAATTTTAAATTTGCTTTGAAAAACCCTTTGAATTCTTGTTTTAGTAAATAAACCTGTTAATATTCGTTCATTTGAAAATATCAAAGCTGTGTTATCCAGGAATACACGTTATGCAAAATCAGTCATCTTGTTAAGCAATTTTGTTTTACACTAGAAAAGAGGTTAATAGAATACTCCATTCTAAATAAAAAGTATTAAACTGAGCAAGTTGTGTACTCTTTTCATTGCTAGTCTGACGTTTCTTCACACAATTTCATTTTTTAAAAACATTTAGTTTGAGGAAGAACAAAGATTTTTGCAGGGTTTCGTAAATTGGGAATATGCAAAACTGCATCCTGATAACTTTTTTTTAACTCTTGTTATTTTTAAGTAGCTTTGTTCTACACACCTTTATTGTGAATGCAATTTAGTCATCTTTGACAGTCCAGACACAAGACTTATTTGGGATGGGCTTTCACATTTAGTTGTCATCAGCATATTAATAATTATGCCCATAACTTGCAATAATTGGTCCCACAGCTTGCATATATTTTTCTGAAAGGAGAGGTGTGAACATTAAATGTTTAGTCACTCTGCATTTCATATTAATGGGTGCATAAATTCCATTTATTTACAATCAATTTTCATATGAGGATGATGAAAAAAAGTTAAGAATCACCCTTTTTAAAAAAATATTAATCTCAGAACACACAATAAGAGTTTATCGCACACACATAATATACAATATCAAATCTTTCAAGGTTACTTAAAATATCTTTCTTAAGTGCAAAAAAAGGGAATCACAATATGTTCCATATTTTTTTTAACTCTACCTTTTTGTCAAAGTATCCTAATATGGTGGAGACTAAACTCATTTTAACATGGGAGATAAACATGCTAACAGCATGTGTTAATGTTTAAAGGAACATTATAGCATAAGGAATACAAATATGTATTCCAAACGCTATTGTACCCTAGTCAACTATTACTGGTATTTATTCAATCATTGCATGGGTCTCCTTTGGGAAGCTCTTTCTCTTTTGCTGAGATATTGAGACCAATGATATCAGCCAGCCCAATACTTTCCCATAAGAAAGCATTGAGAGAATAGTGTGATTTAATCACATGAGACCATCTGATTAAAATGGCTTTCAGTTCCTGAAGAATAGCAATGTTGCAGGGTTAAAACAGGTGGCACATCAAACCATTTTATTGACAGTGGCAGCTGGTGAAGTTTTAAGATAGTTGGGTACCAGACTCTTCTCCCAGATTTTTACTCCTCTCTATACTATACAGCGATCTCATACAAGAAAACAGACTGGGCACAATAGAAGATATCTATAAAATACACAGTTAAGTACAATACAGAAATAACTATACCACAAGCAAAGCTGTGAACAATACAAATACACAATACAAAGATACCTATACAATACACAGAGCTGGAAATACTACAAAGAAGCTCTGTTCAAATGTATAATCTTCTTCAGACACTGACGTTTGGGCAGGTATGAGTGACATTGTTGAGTACTTAACAGTAAGTCGTTAACACATTTGCAAAATATATATAAGCCATTAATGGTTTGGTTCTTGATTATCATTTGTTTCTGGCATCATGTGGAATTGAATGGAGAAGGGGCTGGATTTCTTTTTGGTTTGAGGGCAAATAAGCAGTCTAGCTTGTCACAGTGGCCAAGAGGACTGCCAGAGGACTGCCCAATCATGTGGGCTGCATCTCCTGACCAATCAAAAATATATGATTGATGGTTAGAGACCACCCAAAATGTTTGATTTTATTCACAAATCAAGAAACAACAGACCAGTAGAGGGGAAAAAAGGAAGAGCAGTAACACCAAGCAGGATTTCTCCATACACTTTGATTATAGCTGCTGATGGAGACAGACCAGCAGTGATACTGTGTGTTTTACCCTTGTTGTGTTTGTGTGGGAATATTTGATAGCCAAGGTAATTTATTCTAGTGTGAGGCTAAGCTTCGCTCGCTCTTGTCTCTTACTAGTATTGCTAGGGGCACTTGGAAAAACTTGTGAAATATATGAGATTGCCATTTTGCCATTTATCCTAGAGTGAGACTAGTTTACCAGAATACATTTCCTTTCCTTTTCTTTCTTCTAAAAAAAATAATTGCCTAATCTGATTCTAGTGTGAGGTTAGGTTTAGGTTGCTACTGCCAGGGACACTTGAAGAAATTTTGAGTATGAAATAGGATATAAATACAGTTCAATTTTTTTTCTAAATGTGTCCAGTACAGTGTGGGCTGTGCAAGTGTGTGAGTACTGTGGAAGGTTTGTTCACGCCAAACACAATAACGTTACAGTAGTAAATCACCAAGCACCAATCCATTTTGCAATACAAATATCATTTTTTGCTGAATAAAATAGTGTAATTTTACATAGCATACAACCATTCATATACCGAATTTATTGTAATAAGAAAAACAGTCACCCACTAATCCACAACAGAAATTGATGAAAGGTAGGAGAATGAGTCATGTTTGCCAATCCACCAACTCCATCAGCTGTAGTGCCTTAGCTTCTGAGAGTATGAACACCTCTTCTGAGGTTGGATGTTCTAACACTTCCACCACCACTATTAGTAGAATTCAGCAATGAGATGTGCGATTAGCTGCATGTTTGTTATGTCTAATTCACCAAAAGGCAATTTGAGTTTTTTCAGCCTTTTCATGCTGCAATAACTTCTGCTGACACTGCAGCTCCTTCTACATAATTCAAGCACTTTAGGGTACATGAAACCAGTGGACTTATTTCCGTTGCCTGTGTTACACTGTATTTCTTGTACCCCCCTATGAAACAATTAATGGATCAAATACTTTGTTAGTGCTAGAGCAGAGTACCCAAGTAGTATCCCTAATGTCTAATCTCAGTTGTGATGAGGAATCTAGTGATGATGATTAGTGATGCCGCAAACGGTTCGCCACGGACTCATCATTGAGTAAACTTTGACCCTGTACCTTACAGTCAGCAGACACATTCCAGCCAATCAGCAGCAGACCCTTCCACCTCCTGGACAGCTCACTAAGAATGCAGCTTCACAATGGATGCTGTCCAGGAGGTGGGAGGGTCTGGGAGGGAGGATCTGCTGCTGATTGGCTGGAATGTGTCTGCTGACTGTGAGGTACAGGGTCAAAGTTTACTCAATGATGAGTCCGCGGCAAACCGTTCAGGACATCACTAATGATGATTATAGTGTTGTTTCCCCAACCACTCCAGACATTTGTTTTATTTTGTCCCAGGTGGAAATTGACTATGATACAGAGACGCTACTGTGCACTTGCCACTTTGTCCTAAACTATTATCATCTGCAGTAGATTCATGGAAGATTTAGATTTTATGGAAAATGTTGGATCATCATCTTATACCAGTACCACAAGTAGCTCACCCATTGACATTATCATTACCACCACCTCCATTCCCATTAGTCAACTAATTGCTAGTGATGTGACGCCCAGCACTGAGGCTAATATGTGTCAGAATTCAAACCTGGGAACCTGGCGGTTCTGGCGCTATGTTACCTCTGAGACACCTCTCAGCTTTACTACTGCCTGTATCTAGCCCTGTCTAGTATCTAGCACTGGGGGCTGGACATTTAGTCGAACAACTCCTGCCACTCATGTTTCACCTGAAGTTGATGTCTCGTTAGCCAGGTATATAACACTGCCTCTCCCAGAAGGCAGGGTCAGTTCCTTGACTCTGGTGATCAGACTGCTGTTTCGTGTTCTCCAGTTTACGCTTAAACTTGGCTTGTTACTCTGCATATCCTGACTTCTGGCATCCTCTGACTTCAGCTTTCTTCTCGTTAATCCTGATTTCTGGCACCCTCTGACCTCTGGCTTACCCATGACGATTCTCCTGCTTTATCCATTCCTGTACTGCAACTTGGAGAATATGGAGTCTGCAGAGATGTGCTCACTCTTGTCCAAGCAAGTGTCCAGCCTGGCCCAGACTGTCTTGGACTTGCAACGAGAAGTTGTGCTCCTTAAAGGCGCAGTACACCCAGCCCCAGAACCTGCTTCTCCTGAACCAGTCGTCATCATGCCAGAAAGATTTGATGGTAGCCGTACATCATTCTAGTGCTTTAGGGTGAACTGTGAGATATTATTTGGCTTAAAGCCATGTAC